CTGCCTTGTAGAAGACAGTAGACAACGTCCGTTGAATTGAGAAACCAGAAATCACTCTTAGATGTTTTAGAGTCTAGCAAATTTAATGGGTTTCAATCATGACCAAATGCTTTGTGTAAGATTCCTTAATGACCTTAATAACCATTCTCAAAAGATCCATGGTGGGTTGTGCCACATAAAACTGTCCATTTTTGCTTTTTAATATATATACTTAACTGAAAACTTAATAACAACCATTATGGTATTAACATTAGAAAATGAGGACGTGGGCTCGATGAAATCGTGGACTTTCTGTCACCACTTCACTTTGTGGCGGAGTGGTCACCAAGCTTTCACCACGGCTGCTCCTGTCCACAACACGTTCCGTTCCCTCGACACCCTTCACTCTTGGTGCTTCAGGCTGCACCTCCCTCAGGAAGCCTCCTGCCTTCCAGGGAGGGGAGGAGGCTGCCCCCTGCAAGGCACCTGTCATAGTCCAGGGTGGTTGCTTATTGACCTGTCTCCTCGGCTAGACGGTGGGCTCCGAGAGGGCGTCACGGGGACCCTGAACTGACCACCTGTGAGCTGCTGTATCCCCACGTCTGGCTCAGAATGAATGAACACTCAGTCAACACATGGAGTGAAGGGAGGAAGGTGATGTTCTTAAAGAACCAGAAAAAAAAAAACAAACAAGATTTTAGGGAGTGGAATGAAGGTTGTCCACGTAAAATTGTCTCTTAAGAAAGACAAAGTTGGGCTCCACACCCACCTGAGCTTGGCCTGAGAGCTTAATGCTGAGAAGGGGGGGAGGGCGGGAGGCACGGCCTCCTGGAGGCCAAGGAGGCACCGAGCCAGGAGGCTGCCCTACTGAGAGAGAACATTGGGAAGACGGCAGAGGGAAGGCTTAACCAGCACTCCAGCTGCCTGCGCCTTCTGTGAAGACTGTTTAGTTCCCACTCTCTAACCCCAGCTCGTGGAAGCAAGATCCTGCATGGAGAGAGTGGAAATGGGTTTTCTTTTCGTTTTGCCATCAGAGTTAGGCAAATCCCTTTATTTTTCTGGGTCTGTTTCCTTATCTGCAGAGTGAAGGTTGTGGCCTGTTTCTCAGTCCTGTTCCCAGGGACACTGGGCGGTTGTGCGTCAGCTGCACACCCTCAGGCGCCTCCACATTTCCGCACTGGCCCTGTGGACAGCAGCCCTCCCCTTGAGGATTGTTCGCTGGTGTGAAGCCAAGGCCGTGGGTGTGATTTCCTAACCCTTCCCAGCTCTCTTGGCACCTGGACCTCATCTGTAAGGGACATAATACCCCTCTAGCTGTAGAGGATCAAGTCCAGATCACCTCCCTGGACCAAACGGGGCCCCGCCAGATATCGGTTTCCTCCTGCCTCTGACATCCCATGAGAGCCGCAAACCTACGTGGACTTAGACAAGTTCTCACGTCATTCTTTCATTAAGCTACAGATGCTTACCAAATGGGCTTTAAGCTCTTTGACAACCACTGGGCATTAGAGTAGGGAGAGTCCATGGAGATAGTGCCTCCTGACTAGGAAACCGGGACCCGGAGAAATCTGAGCCTTGCTCAAGACCACAGCCAGTGAACACCAAGGCTCTGCCCTGCACTCTTCCCTGAACAGCACCCCCACAAAGGGGCAGCTGGGCCGCTTCCTCCCTACTCAGTCTGCCAGGAACCTTCCCATTTGTTATTTCGTTTAGCCTCCCCAGACCTCACACCTGCATCTTTCCACTGGAAAGAGGAGGCCAAGATCGAGTCTATACATACGGCTGCAGCAACATTGGAGCCTCTGGCCGTGAAGTCAGGTCCACGACTCCCACAATGTCCATTAACTTCAACCCGCAGAGCAGGAGAGCTGCTTCAGCCGAAGCCTGGGGATGGTCCTCATCTGCCCAGGTTCGGTTTGACTCAAACACTTCCTACGGTAGACTTAAAAGAAATGTCTAGCCAGATCCCTTAGCAGCCCCTCAGCCTCATGAGCCTTTCCAAAGTCACACACCTTGCCCCCACCCAGCCAAGCCAGGTAAAGTGGACACTGCCTGAATCACACAGGTGGTGACCCCAACTTCCAGTTCACACGTCTTCTTCTGCACCCTGAGACTTCGTGAAGGTACCGTGTTGCCCAGGGATGATACCTGAAGCCTTATTAAGAAAGTCTTCCTCTCCCCCCACCCCTCACCCCACTAGGGACCAATTCCCCAAAGGCATGCTCAGTTTGCAAAATGATTCCCACAAGGAAGCCGGGTCTGAGGTTGGTCAGGAAACAAAACCAGCCCCCCCCTTACCCTGCTGAAGCACAGAACATGTGAGCACCCCCACCCCCCTCCCCTGGAGCCCCAACATCAAGTGCTACCCCAGCACACGAGTACTCAGCGTGGTTATGAATGGACCTCTTTCTTGGGGTCTCCCCTCCTACGAACCCCGGCCTCGAGGAGAAGCTGCCTGTACATAGGAAACACGCACAGGGTGTCATGGGAACATCCCTGCTGAAGAATCACCCCAGCCTTCGTGGGCCGGGGAAGAGATCTCAGGGGAGAACCTCCTGTGGATAAAGGAACTGCTTCCATGGGATCCTCACTCTCTGGTAACTGGTGAGGCCTGGGGCCATCAGTCCATTCGTTCAGGACGAAAACCCTCCACCTACGTGTGGGAATGCCAGCTTGACGCTGCATGAACACTGATGTGTTGGTCAAGCTCCCAAAGCACAAGGCTACTTGGTTCATGAAACACTTTGCCACTCACCTCTAGTCTCCCCACCTGGGCCCTCCAGCTTCTGTGATGAGGCAGGTCACCAGATGGACACAGAGGGGACTGTGGACCCCTGGGAACCAGGGTCTCAGTGGGGCAGTTAGAAATTGAAAGCCATTGGGATGTGCTTTACGTTAGAAACGTACCTCAAAAACACAGGCAGCAGCAGGGAACTGATATCTGCAGACACTGGGGCTCTGCCCGAGAAACAAGAGCCCGGCGGCAATAGTTCATTCAGACTGGAGACCTGAGGGGTGCACCCTCCCCTTTCCCTCGAGGGGCAAAATTTAGGAAACTCCATTGCCAAAAGCAGCTGCAAAAGGGAGTAAGGCACGGAATTTTGCTTTGTTAAGTGCACAGAGACAGCGAGCGCAGAAACAGACTGAGAGAAACAGAGAGAGAACTGGTTGTTGCCAGAACGGAGTGGGGCTGGAGCACTGGGTGAAACGAGGTGAAGGGACTAAGACGCATAAACTGATAGTTACAACATAGCCCCGGGGAAGTAAGTAAAGCATAGAAGTACCGTCAGTAATATTGACTTAGCTATGAGTGGTGCCAGTGGGGTGCTGGAAATATCAAAGGGAATACTATGTAAAGTATATGATTGGCTAACCACTAAGCAGTACAACCATAGGAAGACAGGGAGGGGGGGAGGGAGGAAGGAGGGAGGCAGTCTGTGATTGGTGGAGATGCAGCAGCGCCAGCCAGCAGCAGCCTGCAGTGGCTATCTGACCCTATCCGACGAACTTCGAAGACAGGCGTGTTCTCTTGACCTTACTAATTTGTCTTTAAGTGTTTTGGAGAAGGCCTACCAAGAGTAGACAGGCAGCAAAGCCTGCTGCCTCTGACAATGCCCTGAGCAGAAGAGAACTTGAGGCTTATGAGTTCTACTTACTGTCCTGAGAAAGAAGAGTCCTATAGACTCTTCAATCTGGTTGTCCATTGGTTGCTTAGGAAACATTTATAAAATTACAGGTGATTGGACTTCGCCCCACACTAATAACCAATCTCTGAATTGTTTGTTTTTAAAGCTCTCTGTGTAATTCCACAGTGCAGTTAAGGTTAAGAAACTTCTATATGAAACTCTCAAGCCCCACGAATTCCAAGTTGACTAGATACAGATTGAACTGGAACCGGACAGGCCTGCTCTGACAGCACGCAGGCTGAGCATCCCTTCACGGTGTGGCCCAGACCGGGTCCACTGCTGTCCCCACAGGGCACTGAGCTAGTACTTCAAATACTTGGTTCCGCATCATCTTCCCAGGAGACACCTGTGGTTTTTGCAGGGACCAGGAGTTAGACTGGTGGGTGCTTCAGGCTGGAAGGGTCAGACTCAGGAAGGAACACTGTGATCACAGGGCTGCTGCCTCCCTGCAGGACCAGGCCCGGACCCGGGCCCCGCACTCGCCGGCCCTGCTCAGCACAGAAGGGGCTCGAGGACATTCACACAAGGAGGTGGTGGTGGTCATTAAAAGAAAATAAGGTGTTTTTCATGCTTTCTCTTTTCTATTTCTTGTAAATCCCCTCCTTACAAACTGCTATCTCCTTGTTTCTACGAAGTTGGGCAGAGACCAGCAAAAAGTATTTTGAGCAAAAGGCCAGTTTAGCTGGTATGGTGCAGTCAGTGTTACCAGTAGCCATTACGTTACATTTCTGAGAACTGGGGGAAAGAAACTGCTTTGTTCAGGAACACATTTTTTAATAGATTAGAGATGAGACCTAACACTGCCTCCCTTTCTCTGTAACTACCTCCTCCTACCCACAGCCAAAATTTCCCAGAGATTGGTTCTTACAAGGAACGACACACAGATCTCTGGAAATTGACACCCAATGGTATAACATTAACACACTCCCAACAGCTCAGAGCATCAGTACAGAAGTGCTGCGTGGAATTATCGGTTAGAATGGGAAGACTATTAGATATCAGCCATTCCCACGATGGCCTCATCCACCTAAACATTTTAACATAGGAGTCAGCAACTTTCTCTGTAAAGAACCAGATCATAAGGATTCTGGGCCACAGACCCCCCCCATCCCAACTACTCATCCCTGCCATTGGGGTCCAAAAGCAGCCGCAGACAATACATAAGCAAAGCTGCATGGGTCTGTCTCACAATAAAATTTTAATTGACAAAAAGAGGCAGGCTGGATTTGGTGCTTTGCTGACCCCTGTTCTAACAGACACTATCTATCTGTCTGTGTGTGTGTGTATTTTTAAAGATTTTATTTATTTTTTGACAAAGGGGAATGGAGGGAGAAAGAGAGAGAGAAAGAAATATCGATGTGTGGCTGCTTCTTGCGCACCCCCTACTGGGCACCTGGCCTACAGCCTAGGCATGTGCCCCGACTGGGAATCAAACCAATGACCCTTTGGTTCTCAGGCTGGCACTCAATCTACTGAGCCACACCAGCCAGGACACACTATCTGTATTTTGAATATATATTTGCTTTTGTGAACACAGCTTCAATAGACTGAACTGACATTTAACAGGTGACAAATAAATAAGAAATGACATGGTAAAAGATGGATAAGGATTTAATGACAAATATTCCATATTGGTTTGCTTGAACACCAGAATGCTGTCCAGGGAACCATCATTAAATAAAACAACCTGAAAACAAGGCGAATCTCACATACACAAGCACACACACACAAAACCTGTTACTTTCAGGGTCATTAAATTATTCACTATTTTAACAGCTGTAAAATAACATTATAGTGAAAGGAAATGTGCACAAATTTCGGACAGTGCAGATTGTCTATGAACACAGGTCCCTAATTTGTACCTCTTCACATATGTACAGCCTCTTGATCTCGAAGAGAGATGGCTCAAGGGGTTAACCTGTCATCTTCTCCTCCCCACCGGGAGCTCAAGACTTAAGCAAGCCACTTAACCTATTTAATCTGCTCCAGATTTTGCTCAGGAAAGGGCAGCCTGCACTTGACCAAACTCCCAGGAAACAAATGATACACTTATCTCCACCTTCATTAGTGAGTTGGTAGGAGTCTTCAGACAAACGTTTGTAAGGGTGAACCACAGTTAACAGGGTTTGCTTGAGAAATAATATCCTAAAACTAAATACAAGAAACACAGATATGTTCCCTGAAGAATTGTGAGAAAAATGGAATCACAGTTTAGATGCACCGTAAGAGTGGGTGTGGCTGGTTGGTCTGTCTCCTTCCAAGAAGGGGTTTGCTCACGGAGGGGACACTGAAGTAGAAGCTGACCCTGATCCATTGTAACAGGAAGAACCAGAGAGGTCAATGAACTCCAAAGACATCAACCACCTCTAAATTACTTTCCATTACTTCAGTCTCCTCTCCCTGTTGAACCCTTTCTCAAAAGCTGCTAATATGTAATGCATTTGATGCAGACGAGACTGTGCATTAGTCGAACCATGGCAGCAAAAGGCCAACTAATCCATCAAGTGGATGGGCAACCCATGATGAATCAAAAGTCCAATGACATTTCATAGGCACAGACTTGCGAGAATTTAAAACGGTGGAAGAGGTAGATGTGCATGGGGAAAAAACCCAAAGGAATAAGATTACCTACAAAAGGGCTATATTATTTTCATGTGAGTCTCATACACTTCGTATTCAGACCATAACATTCAGAATAAAGAATGGACACTTGCTTTGCTCATATCACTCTCAACGAAAAGAACATTTTAAAAAAATTAGTGTCTTCCAAAGCTACCTCTATTTTGAAAATCTATTTGCATTTCCAAATAACAATAGTCTGATTAAGAGAGCAAGATTAACAAGCATTATACAAGCCCGTAATTTTCAGGATTTTTAAAAGTGTTTTTATACTGACAAAAACATGCTTTCCTACAGCCCCCAAAGAGGTCCTTTGCTAGACTACAACTGATCAAGTATAAATTACTGGCATCCCCATAAAATTTGCTAAATTGTAAAAACAACCTTGCAGTTGTCTTTTTTCTTTTCACACGTGCCCAACAGTTCATGAAGATGCTTCCGTGAAAAGCACAGAGTAACAATCCCCAGTGAATGAAACAAGGCTGCTTTCCACAACTCTAACGTCTAAAGGCTAGCCTAGGCAAGGGATTTCAGCACAGGTAACTGAAATCTATACAAGAGTCATCTAACTACAGCCTCCTAATAGAAATGTAACATACCTAGGACACCCTAATTATGTGACAAAGACCAGCTCTGTCAACAAGGACATCTTTGGCCCTTCTAGACTAGCCTTAAAATTTCCATCGAGCATATGAATTTTCAGTGTCCTTGGTTTATTATATAGATCATAACAGGTAAGTCATCCTAGCAGCTGAGCTGGAGAGCACAAAGGGTCAGACCACACCTACCCACGCCGCTGCAGCCTCTCCTCAGAACAGCATTCAGCACTCCTGTCCTCAGGCCTTCCCTAAAACAAGGGTCATAATACTGATCTACCTCACGAAGATGTGAGAAACAACTAACAGTTGTTAAAAAGCATAAAGCACTTTACAAATATAAAAGTGCTAGTTTGGCATTTCCAGAACCAGAAAACATTCATTGCTTGTGCTATTTGGCAATTTTGCATTTACACCTCTCCCTGCTTGTGCCCTTCTTGTATAAAGCCTGGAGCTTTCTACTGTGCCTCCCTGTATAGGAAAAACAAGTTTCTACTCAGACCAGAGCCCAAATTAATAGGGGTGGAGGTGGGGCTTCCATGATTTCCCCCATCACTATGGAGGAGGAGGGGTGCAAGATACAACACGAAGGCAAATGAGACAAAGGAGACTTGTACCCCAGCATGTGAATTTCGCTTTCCTGTGTTTCTCACATAAGGCCAGCAAAACTCTTGAGCTGGCTGACCTTTGTAGCAGGTCACTGGGTCGGCTGTTGACGGTCAAAGGTTCACTTGCAATGAGCGTCCAGCTGACCTGGGAAAGGGAAAGTCACACAGAGCTGGGATTGTTCCATTTCCCTGCACATAGAAGATCACAAGTGAGACCTGTAGGAAACATGGAGCCGGGCAGACAACTGACACTGGGGTCCAGGGTCTGGTCACCCACACTGACCACCTTGCCCCAGCATGAAGCTAGAACATTCCAAAGGAAGTAGCAACGAACCAGGGGCGGGACCAGGGGATCCTAGATCTGACAACCAGTTATGAATGAATCTCTGAGTTTTACCTTTGAAATGAGGGTGTGTAGCTTTTCTGCCCAGTATCCCCTGGACACCTCAAAATAGCAGCTAACTGTGGCTCAGAGAAAGGAAGAGCATACCTTACAGGACTGGCTAGGTTCCTCTCCTTTTCGTAGGACTACAGCTGATGTTGGGGGGGGGGGCGGGTGAGCGGGGAGGACAGGGCAAACGGTGGCTGAGCACCTGGCGGGATCAGGGTAGAATTATCCACACTGGCTTTTTATTTTACCCTGTAACCCTCACTCCAACCATGCCCTTTCCTGATTCCCGCAGGCCATCACAGCCCAACCCACTCTACTCCTGCCATCCTGTTCCCTCCCCTACCACCTAACTCCCCTGTTCAATGTACTCAAAGTGCCCACTCTGCTCCTACACAGTGTTTGAGAGGTCAGCATGCTCAAACACATCTCCCAAACACTTCTTCGTTGGGGAGGAAGCAGGCAAAAATATAACACCCCAAAGAACACATCTTAATCTACCCTCCCTTTCAGGACCCCCTAACACCAAAAGGTCCCCAGTCACTCTCGGATTGTCCATCCCGCCCCTTCCCATTTCTTTCTATAGGGTCTGTCCCCAGGACATCTGGGCCCCAAATGCTCCCAGGAGGTCAGCCTCCCTCAGGCCCAGCCCTAGCACAGGTGAAGCTTCTGGTGCTGTGCGAGGTGCGTTTTGTAGCGGAAGCCCTTGCCACATCCCGCGCACTTGTGCGGCTTGTTGCCAGTGTGGATGCGGCGGTGGCGGATCAGGTGCGAGCTCTGGATGAAGCTCTTGCCGCACTCAATGCACGTGTACGGTTTCTCGCCCGTGTGCGTGCGCTGGTGCTGCGTCAGCGTGGAGAAGTCACTGAAGCGCTTCTCGCACTGACCGCAGCGAAAGGGCTTCTCGCCAGTGTGCACCCGCAGGTGGTTGACCAGGTGCGAGTTGCGGCCGAAGCCCTTGCCACACTCGCGGCACACGTAGGGCCGCTCGCCTGAGTGCGTGCGCTTGTGCGTGAAGAGGTGCGAGCTGACGCTAAAGGTCTCGCCGCACTCGGAACACATGTAGGGCTTCTCGCCCGTGTGCACGCGCTGGTGCTTCACCAGGTCCGAGCGCCAGCTAAAGCGCTTGCCACACTCGCCGCAGCCGTGCGGCTTCTCACCGGTGTGGATGCGCTGGTGGTTAGCCAGGTGCGAGCGGCGCACGAAGCCCTTGCCGCACTCGCCACAGGCGAATGGCCGCAGCGCAGCGGGTCCCGCACCGCTCGCCGCCGCGTGTGCGCGCCGGTGGCTCAGCAGGTGCGAGCTGAGGCTGAAGGCCTCGCCGCACTCGGGGCACGGATAGGGCTTCTCGCCCGTGTGCAGCCGCCGGTGCTTGAGCAGGTCCGCACGCCAGCTGAAGCTCTTGCCACAGTCGGCACACAGGTTGGGCCGCTCCCCGGTGTGCAGGCGCAAGTGGTTGGTCAAGTAGGTGTTGCGGCTGAAGCCCTTCCCGCACTCTCCGCAGCGGAACGGCTTCTCGCGCGGGGGCCGGGCCAGCGCAGGCCCCGCCCCGAAGCTCCCGGCCACGCCCACCACTGCGCTGCACTCGCCCCCCAGGCCGAAGGGTTCCAGGCTGGCTGCCGCAGCTGCCTCTGCAAGGCGGTGGATGCGCTGGTGCTGCAGGAAGGCGGCACCCGGGCTGAAGCTCTCTCCACAGTCGGGGCAGATGGTGGGCGAATCCATGATGCTGGCCATCAGGCTGTCCAGCTCCCCGAGGTCCACTGCCATAGGGTGGTGGAGACGTCGGAAGCGGCGGTGGGCCGGCTTGTCACCTCGGTGCCGACTGCCCAGGGAGAGGTGCCGCCTCCAGGGAAGCACCGGCCGGGGTGGCTGCTCCTCCTCCTCCTCCAGCCGGTTCTCGAAGGCGCTCTCCTCCACCTCTTCCAGGGGACTCTGGGACATGCTCTCGGACACAGACAGTCTGGGGAACACGGCCACCTCATCTACACCAGCCTGGTCATTCTTTTCCTCGCGGAAATCAACCCCTTCTTCCTCACTCAGCATCCTCTCTGCAACAGCAAAAGGTGACAATGTGGGTGACTATACCTGGAGGTCAAAAAGTAAACCCGAGAAGAGTGTGGGCCACGATGTAATTAATCCCCTCCCCCAGGGATACTCTCAACCTCACTCTCCAAGATCCCTGAGACCTGGTGCCTCCTGGGGAAGAAAGACTTAAAGGAAAGTATGCTCTGAAACCCGGGGAAAGGTCAAGCACCTGCTCCCTGGGCCCCAGCCGCATCCACTGTCCCCAAGGCTTCATGCATTAGAGACATCTGAAGGCCTGACAGTCTGCTTGAAGTGGTCAAGTCCGGGCCAGGTGGGATCTCGGGAGAGCTTTGCATACTGTAAGAGTGACTCATGCCTTCCAGGGGCCTGGCCTCAAAAGGTAAGACCACTCCAAGTCAACCACAAGAAAAGACCACCTGGCCTACCCAGGCCTACCCAGGCCCTGACCTGATTTTTACATCTGTGACTGGTCATTCTGGAACAGCTTAAGGTTGAACAACACACCAAACACAGCCCCAACTTAAGGGCTTCACTATGTAGGGGGAAAGGGGAAGTGAGCACGGGGCCTAGAGCTAGTGAGCCCAGCTTAAGAGGCCGATCCAGCACACACACCTATCTCTGGCTGCTTATGCCCAAGCAGATGACCTCCCAGAAAGGCACTAGATATGAAAAAGCACATGCTTGTATGCATGGCTGGGGCCCGGGATGAGTTACAGGGTGAAAAATATAACCTCCCAGTCCAGGCCATAAGGTGTTTCAGATCACTTCTGTCCCCGAGGCATGCACCGAGCAGGATAAATAAGGAAAGCCCGAAGACAGCACTGAATACGGATGGGGTCCCAGCATGCACTGTTTCCAGGTCAGGAATAGCAAGAGCCGTTGGGCACTCAGAAGTGGCCACATGAACCTGGGCAGGTCTCTCACCACCGAGTCTGCTTATCCACAAACAAGATAACAGTAACTGTAAACATCTGAATACTTTGCTCTGCACTGTGCCTCACAAGCCTTCACGTGCAGCAATTCACCTAACTCCCAATAGCCCCGTGAGGTAGGTTCTAACACCATCTGTGTCCCCTCCTGTGTTGTTCCAAGTGTTGATCTATCGCAGTATTCCGTGTAGTGTAGGGTGCTGCACCAGTGAGCACCCTCTTCACCTGTTTACCAGAACAGCCCACCTCACACTGGACTGAAGAAAACAATGTTTCTCAGGCTTAAGATGGTACAGGTTCCGCTTAACGGTCTCCTCGGGAGAGCTCCCTCACAAGAATGCTGCCCCGGTTAACAGCTGTGGAGGAGCCAGAAAAGTAAGTGGGGTGACTTCCCTGGAAACTCCAGCTGCCCCCTCACCTGTGCAGATGTCAGGCGCTAGTTCCCGCTCCTTGGAGTCCTCTCCTGGAGCTTCGTCCTGTGGGTTGGGGCCCATTTTCTGCTCCGGGTGGCCGCCTCTCTTGTCCACATCCTGTGCACGAGAACCCATTTCTCTCTCTTCTGGGTCCCCTTCCCTGTCCTCAGAGTTCTCAAAATCGGAGCCCATCCTTGTGTCTTCTGAGTCCAGGGCTACACACACACCCTGTTTGTCTTCTTGTTCCATCCGGGAGGAACAGGACAAGGGAGGTGACCAGGAATCCCTGCTCCAGACAAAACACACGGATAAAGGTCACGTCAGTCTGGCCTCATTCTCTCACTGCGTCTACCTTTGAATTCCAGCGGTGTAGTCCAGTAAAATGTAGAGTTCCAAGCTTCAGAGAGCAAATCTCTGCTCCCCCTCACATTTTAAGGTTAACACTTCTGAGCACAAAGGAGGCTGGTCTGGGTGCCAGAAGAACAGTGGGGCCAACCTGAGGCTATTATAGGCCAACTCTCGCTGGACCACACTTTGATCTGTTTCCATCTGTTTAGTGAATGATTCTATTAACATGGCTTTGTAGCTTTAACCAAGGGGTAACAATAGTATCCCGATTTCACAGCCGAGAAAATGATGCTGAAAAAGAAGACCCACTAGCCCAAGGCCAAAAAGTAAGCAGTATAGTGGGGTTCAAACCAATTTCGCTGCCTCAAAGTTCCATACGTCCCTTACTCCTATTAAAGCTTGTCTGTAAGTCTACACAGTTTGTATTGATCAATTACACCTCAGTAAAGCTGGAATGGGGGTGGAGCCTTACCATCCTCAAGTCCATGGCAATCTTGTGAGGATTCTAGCTAATGATGAGGGAGACTCTAAGAATTCAGAGAAAAAGCGCATTCAAGACACAAGAATAACAGAAGCATTGGCATATGAACTGCTGGTTTGAGACCATGTCACCAGCAGCAGCACCAGAACCTGGCTTTGTGGTGAGGACCAAGCTTTCATAGGTCTGTGGGAGGTGAATGGAATGCATGTAGGGACCCTCTCTACTAGTTCACCTTATAATACACATCCTTTAGTTGTCAAGAGCCCTTAACAGAGCACATGCCTGACGTCATCAGTGACCCCTCTACAGAACGGGCCAACATGGGAACCGTAGGGAGAAAATGACCTCAGATTCCTAAATCTTTTGTAGACATCAGTTTACATTTCAAATTTAAAGGGCCCCCTGCCAAGACTGAGCTGAGCAATGGAGCCAAAAATAATTTACGTCCGCCATCCATCACTCCCACAGCTCGGCTCAGAGCGGTGAAGTAGTTTATAGGTCAAGGATCTTGGATTAAGACTTAGAAGCATCCAGCTCTCTTCCTCGGCAGCCCCCAAACAGAACTTACAAGAACATGGCTAAGCAGGACGCCCCTTCCTTGGCCGGGAGCTTTTCCTGCCTCCACTGAGGGCCTCCCCGAGGCAGCCCCGGCTCTCCAGAGACTCGAAGTGGACAGCAGCAGGATAGGCCACGAAAGTCTCGCTGTTCCAGTGCCTTCCTCAGTGCAAGGTGGACAATGCTGCTCAACCCTCCTCACAGGCACAGTTCAGAAAGAAGTGGTCAAAGAGCACTTTGGAAAATGTTGTGGAGAGGAATGGATCCTCCCGAGTTGTACAGATGTGGAATAAACATGTGATTTCTCATTTTAATGAGGAATACACACACTCTTTTTCTTTTTAAGTCCTGATACCATTCCAGCTCACCTCAAAGACACACCAGCACCACCCTAATTTTGGCTGACTTATTGCTCTAAAGAGCATTGTATATCCTTTCTCAGAGATGCCCCACTCCCTAGACCAGAGGGAAAACTCAAGCCCTTCTCTTAAACAGCATAGGAAAATGGTCAGTCAACAGTGTCCTGGAATGCAGCTGAGTTCCTTTAGAACACCTTCTGTTTCAAATGCCAGGCTTCTGCCCTGGCTGGTGTGGCTCAGTGGATTGAGTGCTGGCCTTCGAAACAAAGGGTCTCTGGTTCAATTCCCAGTCAGGGCACATGCCTGGGTTGCAGGCCAGGTCTCCAGTAGGGGGCGTATGAGAAGTAACCACACATTTATTTAAAAAAAAAATGCCAGTCTTCAAACACTCAGGATTAGGCTCTAGAAAATCCCATTAACGTCATAAACCTTTTATGAGTTCTATCCCACAAAGGGCTCTTAACCCCAAACCACTTCTACCCTCATGCCCTTGCCTCATGGAGCAATACTCAAGCACGTTCTTAGCACGTTCCTTGAGTCTGCATTTATGATACACCCCGAAGGTGAGGGGTGGAAAGAGAAGAGTGGGGTTTTCAAACATGTTTTAAGACCTGTTGGTTTGCTAGTGGTTAAAGCAGCAGAGGGGGGGAGTTAAGGGGGGCCTAATGAATGGTTTCTGCCAATCTAAGATGAGTAAGAAGAATTTTACATCAGTAAAGGAGTCAAATTGGTGTCTCACCAGAAACGCATACAAGCAAAATGGCAGATAGGGGGCCCAGAATGGTACTGAAGTGACTGCAGCTCTCTATCCTGCAAGGCGGGGCTTCGGGGCCCACCCTGGGAAACAGAGAAGCTTAAGGTTCAGCTCTAAGCCCAGGGGCAGAGCACCTTCTTAGAAAGTACTTCAGATGCAGAAATAAAATAAGAGGACTTTCTGATTTATGCTTTCTTGGAAACAGACATAATTCATACCAGAGATACTAAATAAAGAAACATGGTTTTTCTGGATTTAAAGGGGCAGCGGGGAGAAAGGAAGAATCTGAGTCTCCCACTTATGGCAAGCATATTCAAGTTCACAGTGCTGCCACACTCAGGGTTGAGGAGGGTCCGAGCTCCCAGAGGGAGCCTGTCTATGGCCTCATTCACGCCAGGAGAGGCAGGGCCAGGTTTGCTCTAAAAAGATGGGGAAGCTCCTGTCACCAGAGAGACACCATTCATTGTACAGCCTCCACTCAAATTTATTCTCAAATGCATTCCACTCATGCAAGACTGGAAATCTGCGTGCCCCACAATGCAGGCTCAGTTCTACTCACACGGTTACACCTTCAAGTTCTGGGCAGCTATCAAGTAACGAACAAGGCTACGTAGAAGGAAGGAAAGGCAGTCACCATGTATTATGAGATGGAAACTGATTGGTTTAGAATCAGTCTCATTGAGTTTATCAGTATATGAACACTAGCATATGTATTTATACATATATACGCAGATTCAGGGAAGAAACCAGAAGATGATTAAAATGTTAATCGCACATCTCTTGGTCACTTCTAGGAGTGTTGTATCATTTCATCTAAACAATTCCCCGAAGAGGCAGGGCATTTTTTTCAATTTCAGAGATGAGGAAACAAGCACGGAAGTTTCAAGGGTAGCCCAAGGTCACCCAATCTCAAGCGGCAGCGCAGGGACCCAGACAGACCCCTGTGCTCCAGCTCCAGTGCCCGAATTCTCGCCCAGAAGCTGGTGTGCTGTTCGGGGCAGCTTTCCCCTTTTTGTGAACATCTGTGTATTCTTCAATAAAGATGTATTGTTCATCAGCCAACTTGGTTTTTAGCCTGACAAAACACATGAAAGGAAAACCTATGATTCTTCTAGAAGCAACAAAAAGGAAGACTAGAGACGTGATTACCTCAGCTTAGATGACTTAATTTCAGAAACGTTATCTAGACACTGTGCCTGCCAGTCAACAGATATCTAAGCACGTTTTGTCCCAACTCCTTTCCCATTCATTCTCAAAATGAAAACTAGCAACATGTTTTCTTAAGCAAGGTCAGGGTTGGATAATGCGTGGGCGGCAAGGCCCTTCTGAGGGCCTCGTGGCTAGACTGGCTGGGGTCAAATCCTCCGCTCTCGGCCAGCTACTTTACTCTGTGCGAGTCGTTTGGCCTTGCTGAACCTCACAGTCGGCATCCGTACAGACAAGTATGCTGCCCCGACCACATAAGACTGTTGTAAAATCACCTGGCGGGTAGTGGAGACACAATAATTGGTAGTCATGAAACTTAAGCCAACCTCTTGATTTAAGAAATCACACACACACTCTTCCTAAATTGAGGGTCACGGCTATATTCATCAAGAATGGCCTTTGGCCAATAGGAGCAGAGCTTCCTCTGGCCTGGCTGCTAAAGACTCTGTTAATGAGTAACCCACCTTGTGGACACAAGAGCCAGGCAGAGGCTAGCTTCTTGGGGAACTGGGGTGAAGGAAAACAGATTCAGCTCCATATGGTTTGGAGATGTTGATAACCCAAGCTGTACACGGGGAGTAGACATCTGCAGCTTAATGAGGTGGATGGCTCAACAAACCTGACTTCTACCCTCTGTAAGGGAGCTCTTCCCCTCAGTCAGAAGGGGTGGAAGTACAAGGGGAAAAACAACAGAAGTAATGGTGGGAGCAAGTCAGGTAGATAAGACTAATTCGGCATCAACCTCTGAATCAGCGGCAACAGACAACAGCCCTGGTTTTCGGCCAGCACGGCTGCTGTGCTGTGCGACTTTGAGTCTGTCCCCTCTGGGCTTCTCCTGGTCAGGGAGGAGGTTGGGTCTGAGTGTGTCTGGGTCCTCTTCCGGGCTGTCATATGACAGGCGGGTCAGTTCATCCAGGGAGGCCATTGTCAGCAGCAGCGTGCTCACTGGCGGGCACTCACTCAGCAGCACGCTGTTAGCGCCGCCGCCGCCGCCACCACCACCGCCGCCAAACCTTTCTCTTCGGATGCAGGTCATTTCGGGGTGGGATCGGCCAACTCTGCCAAGACTGCTCAAATCCTAGCTCACGTCCCTTCCTCCCACCCCAAAGCCCCCAACTAAAAAAAAAAGTAATGTTTATTACCCTGCAAAGGAAAATGCCTAAGCACATTCTAGACGAACTTGACCCCATTTGAAGGAGTAATGAGATCAATTCGAAGACCCCGCTACGGAGTAAAGGTGATAAGGCATCATGGAAAGAAGAGGGAGGAAAGGAGGTGGGGAAAGAGGAAGTGAAGCCAGCAGCGGAGTGGGTGTTAGAATGTAACCTGAGTTTGGTAGCACATTCTCCCAATGGCCTCCCTAAAATTCCCTGAAAAATCTGGGCCTTCCCAACAGCAAGAGCCCCCATCACTTTATGGATTCGATTTCATTTCCTGCGAAGGGGGTGGGGCAGAGAAGCGCGTACCTCTCCCCCACCTTCCTAAAAGGGAAACCACTGGCTGGGTGTCCTGGTGGGACAGGAGCCCACAGTGTCGCGCTACCTTCCGGCTGGGGTGCTGCTGTGGCCAGTCACCCACTGGAA